CACAGTAGTGAATATATTACATAATATAAGCTGATATCAGGTTCAGTCAGAAAACACATTAGTGAATATATTACATAATACAAGCTGATATCAGGTTCAGTCAGAAAACACATTAGTGAATATATTACATAATACAAGTTGATATCAGGTTCAGTCAAAAAACACATTAGTGAATATATTACATAATACAAGCTGATATCAGGTTCAGTCAGAAAACACATTAGTGAATATATTACATAATACAAGCTGATATCAGGTTCAGTAAGAAAACACATTAGTGAATATATTACATAATACAAGTTGATATCAGGTTCAGTCAGAAAACACATTAGTGAATATATTACATAATACAGATTGATATCAGGTTCAGTCAGTAAACATATTAGATAATATATGTTCATGTAAGGTTCAGTCAATAAACAGATTACTTAATACAGATTGATGTCAAGTTCAGTCAGTAAACATATTAGATACTACAGGTTGATATCAGGTTCAGTGAGTAAACAGATTACATAACATAAGCTGATGTCAGGTGCAGTCAGTAAACATATTACATAACACAGGTTGATATCAGGTTCAGTCAGTAAACATATTACATAACACAGGTTGATATCAGGTTCAGTCAGAAAACATATTACATAACACAGGTTGATATCAGGTTCAGTCAGTAAACATATTACATAACACAGGTTGATATCAGGTTCAGTCAGTAAACATATTACATAACACAGGTTGATATCAGGTTCAGTCAGTAAGCACATTACATAATACAGATTGATATCAGGTTCAGTCAGTAAACATATTACATAACACAGGTTGATATCAGGTTCAGTCAGTAAACATATTACATAACACAGGCTGATATCAGGTTCAGTCAGTAAACATATTACATAACACAGGTTGATATCAGGTTCAGTCAGTAAACATATTACATAACACAGGTTGATATCAGGTTCAGTCAGTAAACAGATTACATAACATAAGCTGATGTCAGGTTCAGTCAGTAAGCACATTACATAATACAGATTGATATCAGGTTCAGTCAGTAAACATATTACATAACACAGGTTGATATCAGGTTCAGTCAGTCAACATATTACATAACACAGGTTGATATCAGGTTCAGTCAGTAAGCATATTACATAACACAGGTTGATATCAGGTTCAGTCAGTAAGCACATTACATAACACAGGTTGATATCTGGTTCAGTCAGTAAACATATTACATAATACAGGTTGATATCAGGTTCAGGCAGTAAGCACATTACATAATACAGGTTGATATCAGGTTCAGGCAGTAAGCACATTACATAACACAGGTTGATATCAGGTTCAGTCAGTAAACATATTAAATAACATAAGCTGATGTCAGGTGCAGTCAGTAAACATATTACATAACACAGATTGATATCAGGTTCAGTCAGTAAACAGATTACATAACATAAGCTGATGTCAGGTTCAGTCAGTAAGCACATTACATAACACAGGTTGATATCAGGTTCAGTCAGTAAACATATTACATAACACATTATCGTGTGATCAAATAGTGTGTCTACCTGTATTTACTTTTAACTAGACACGTAATGTCTTTAGCTAATATATAACATAACACATTATCGTCTGATCAAATAGTGTGTCTACCTGTATTTAATTTTACCTAGACACGTAATGTCTTTAGCTATATTTCCTATAATTATAAAACTTTCACGTATAATTATATTGAACATATTTAATACGAAGTTTCGATAATCGATTTGAATACCATTAACTGACTTTATTCATAATTATTAAACTTACAAACGTATTATCTTCTGTTCTTCCTTTCTTTGCAAAAATAGTACGTATACGTTAACCCTAGAAATAAATAAAACCAAAGGAATAACAGTCGCGTGAGTGTAGTTTGCTTTGTTAACTCAGGAGACCTGATTCTTTCACTAACATACAAACATTTCCTCGTGGAGCTGGAGACATTAAAATATTTGGGGAACCACATGCCCCCACATTACCTGCTTCATATCATCTCCAGAAAAATCTAAAGTAGTCTATCAGCGCTCACATTACTTATGTCTTTTCTAACTAGGTGGCGCTATATAATAAATTAAACCTTATCCAATTTGTCTATTTCATGTGATGTTCAGAACTAACAGCTTGTTTCTACCACTTGATGAATTAATCTATAAACTAACAACTTGTTCCTAACATTTAATGAATTAATCTATAAACTAACAGCTTGTTTCTACCATTTCATGAATTAATCTATAAACTGACAGCTTGTTCTTAACATTTAATGAATTAATCTATAAACTAACAGCTTGTTTCTACCATTTCATGAATTAATCTATAAACTAACAGCTTGTTCTTAACATTTAATGAATTAATCTATAGACTAACAGCTTGTTCCTAACATTTAA